AAAAAAAAAAAAAAAAAAAATCTTTTTTTTTTAATTCTTTTTTTTTGTGTTCTAATGGATAGTGAGGTGGGCTGATGATCGGAAGGTGGCGAGTTCAAATCCTGCCTGGAACACCACTGCTAGTGTGCCCTTGAGCAAGGCACTTAGCCTCGCGTTATCCAGGGAGAATTGTCCCTGTAATTGGTCATTGTAAATCGCTTTGGAATTAAGCGTCTGCTAAATGATAAATTGTAAATTTATATTTTGGGGAGAATAAATCCCACAGATCCTCAACTCCGTGTGTTTCCAACTCATTTAACAACGCAACACAGGAGCACAAGATACGTTGGGGGGGGGGGGGAGGGTGCGGTGCGTGCGGTGCCCCCACAAATAGAATCAAATTCTGTGGGAAACACACCCGTGTTCCATCTGAAATCAAAGGCTTAAAACATGTCAGCTCTCAGTATAACTGTCCAGCCGCTGTGTTTGCACTGACCTTGTCCTGGATGAGGGGGGGGGGCGTGCAGGTGTACCCCCCAGGCGTCAGCAGCGTGCCCCAGCAGCAGGCTGCTGATGCGCCGATGGGCCAGGGCGTCCCAGTGAACGCCGTCCGGCATGCGGTGCTGCAGGCTGAAGCGGAAGTGGAAGTGCAGGTCGAGGACGTCCAGGCCGTACGCATCCGCCAGCTGACTGCAGTAGAAGTTGGCCTCGATGATGTCATAACACAGTGACGGAGCCAAGTGACTCACCTGTGGGATATCATTTTAGCAGCAGGTGACTTTCTGTTCTACACACTGTGTTTGGTAGTAATTCTGCTCACTTTGTGAATATGATCACTTACTGTCCCTGCATATGACATTTAAAGGTGGGATAGGTCGTTTTGGAGAAACCAGCTCGAGTGCGTTAGAATTTGAAAATACACAGCCGGAAAAAATCTGCCACTTCCTCACAGAGCCCCTCCTCCAACACACACGAACGCACACATGACCAATGAGGGCACGAGATAAGTTTGTGCAAAGATGGAAGGCTGACAGGCAGGTAGGCCATCCAGTTATTTTAGCCGGGCCGGCTAAAATGATTGGTCGTGCTTTTTACAGTACTACGGCTTCCACAGATGAAATTTTTTTATGGATTTTTTGTCAAAGCACTGAAGATATTCATTGCTATCGGGATGTTAAGAGCATTCCATGGAATATAACAAAAAGTGTATCTCGAGCCGGTTTCTCAAACTTACCTACCCCACCTTTAAGAGACAAAATTATTGTAGGAAGATTTGGTTCACAGGTTCATGAATTGGTCTCATGTCTTTTGAGTAAATCTAGTCACTTTAGTCTCAACAAGCAGTGACATAAAGAGAGACCTTATTTTAAAGTGGGGGTGTGCTTCAATCCACGGGTATTCATACAGGTGTATTTTTATCTTCCACATAAAAGATCCAGAATGTATTCCTCTTAAAAAAACCTCCCCCTCTCACAACCCACCCATCCACACCTAACCTGGAGGTCCATAATACAAGCTTAAAGCAAGGCAGTAGTCTACAAAAGCAGAATAAAAGATGCACTTTACTCATATAGAGCCTTCCATCCATGTGTCTGTTTATAAAATGGATGTATACATTACATTCAATGGTGTTCATATAAAAATAAATAGCAACAAAAAATAAAATATATGGAAATTAAATAAAAACGATGAAGTGGAAGAAAAATATACAAAGACACCAGCATAAGGGGTGGCAGCAAGGTTAGCAGCCAACATGATGTTTAATATGCATTACATTATAAAATCTTATATATTCAAGTGCATAAGGTGCCAATTTAAGCATGAGTAGACATCCAATAATCAAATGGGTGCTCCCAAAATGTTCAAGTGCATAATGAGGACCCCCCCCCCCATATCCCTGAGCCACTGCTTTAATAAAGGACTAGTCTCTGACTTCTGCTGCTGTAGGATAAGGCCAACAGTTTACAGAGGTACATGGCATGCCCCTCATATTTAGTAATGTACAATTAACTACCACTGACCCAAAGATAGCAAGTAAAGGGTCTGGAGCAATAGATTTATCTAAGGCCTTGGATATATAGTCAAATATAAGAGTTTGAAGGGGATCTAGCTTGGAGCAGGACCATGAGTGATGGGTACTCCAAGTGTTCTCGACTCTTGTCACATAATGGGGAGGTTTTGGGTTATAAAACACAAAGTCTCGACTTTGAATAATGGAGCCTGCGAACTACTTTAAGCGTCTTTGGGTTCAAGAAAAGCGCTATAGAAATATAATGTATTATTATTTATTACTTTGAAATGAACTAAGGCATTTCTGGCATTTATAGAACTATTGGGAATAATGTCAAAAATACCCTCCCATATTTCAGCAGAGATTTCAGTACATAGTTTCTGTTCCCAATCATTTTCCCCTTTTTCAGCAGCAGGGGGAGGGAAGCCCTGGTGGTGGCAAACCTCCAGTCAGGCTTCCACTTAGTAAACAGAAATATCAGCTGTGTGCGCAGCAAAGAGAAGTCTAACCTCTCACATTAATAGTATAAATTACTTTGAATCATGTCATCTTGTTGTTCCTTCTTCTTCTGTGGTGACAGGTGAAAAGACACCTGATGGAAGAATTACCAGCATCTTGGACGAACTGCAAATATTCACATTAAAGTACTGTATGGGAACATTCAATTGTATTTTCTTTTGCACACATCATAGAAATGCAGTAAAAGCTTGCACTCAATTATGTTGGAATTCATTGCTTTTCTTAGCATTAGGAGGAACAAAGATTGTGTATTTTGTTTTGTAGTCAGCATAAGAAGGTTTTTATAAAAAGGTTAACATCTGTTTTTCAGTTGCATAAAAATATGAATTCTGTCGAGGCCAGTGTGATATTCACCTCAGAACTCACAGCTGTGAAAATGTACTGTGGTCTCTCAGATTAAGATCAACGGTTTAGGCCAATGTGAACATGTGACAGACGGGTGGGAAGGGTTTCTGCTTCATCTCTGCAGCTAGTCTAATTCCACAATACTAATATGAGGCTGCTCATTTCCCTGCCTCCCTGATGGATGTGCTGATAAGTGAAATCAGCTGGTGTAGTGATTGGTTTTGAATGGAAACCTGCAGCGGAGAGATACTCACTTCAGGCACCAAGAATCCACCCTTGATCTTCTTGGCGAGCGGCATGGCCAGAGTCCACAGCATGAGACATTCACGGCCAACGAGCGCTTTAATCTGGCTGAAGAATTTGTGGAGGTTCTCTTTGTACTGCTCCAGGCACTCCGGGCCATACCTGACATTAAAAAGAAGAATTTGAACAGCAGATAAGTGAAAATAGAACTGCCATGCTTAGATTTTAATTGTTAACTTCTAATTTTCCATCTAGCATATGTAAAATGTAGATATTAATAAGTTATAAATTATACTGGTATTCGTGAAAGTGACATATGACCAATAGTGTGCAGTGTGCTACAGACTTTTAAACCATTATTACTGACCATAAAAAGGACTTGCCTTACCAGTCAGGCTGATGGATTTTTGCTACCAAGACATGTACTCAGTGAAAAATTTTACAGTGTGAAACTCATAGTTAAGCTTGAAGAAAGTCAGAGGATCACTAAATCATTCATATTATATCCATTCAATACTGAGATATTTTCTGGATTTAAAGATGCAGTAAGTGATAGTGTTGTGGTTCAGTCTCAGCCTCTTTGTTTATTTCCCATTTACAGAGCCAGGGCTGTGTGAGAACAGCAGATTGTCTGAGACATGAGGCAGCCATAAATAAAGTGATACCTTTTTTAAATAAATCCATGATTATCTATTAAAAGTGACTGTCTATTTCAATGTCTTTGCTAAATATGATTATACTGGTAAAGCAAATATGCATAATTTTGGCCAACTCTCTGTGGCACTGAGCAAAGATGCATGTAGTGAGAGATTAGAGAAAAAGATAAGGGAAGCAGTAGGCATAAGTCTTCTCTTAAATCATTTACAAGCAGGTAAATGCTGTGAATGTTGTCATTCAAGGTCTTGCTTTCTTAATGTCATATTAGAAGAATTGAATACCATTTTTATAAATTCACCAGTGGTAAAAAATAGATACATTTAACACCTAATCTGTGTAAAAACGGTATCAGCACAACTATTTCCACAGCAATTTATGAGACATAATAGAGCATACTAAGGCCCAGCATATACTTCAAACTAAAGGTTCTACATAAGTCCACTTTGAACTTTTGAAATGGAATGCTTTTTTAGAGCATTCTACGTAGTATCAGAAGTGGCAGACCAAAACCAGTGTTTCCCCTACCATTGTCTTGGGGGGGGGGAGCTGCGCCACCCCAACAGAGCCCCGCTCCCCACATAGTTAAAAAAAATATATATATATACAGGACTGTCTCAGAAAATTAGAATATTGTGATAAAGTTCTTTATTTTCTGTAATGCAATTAAAAAAACAAAAATGTCATACATTCTGGATTCATTACAAATCAACTGAAATATTGCAAGCCTTTTATTATTTTAATATTGCTGATTATGGCATACAGCTTAAGAAAACTCAAATATCCTATCTCTAAATATTAGAATATCATGAAAAAGTATACTAGTAGGGTGTTCAACGAATCACTTGAATCGTCTAATTAACTCGAAACACCTGCAAGGGTTTCCTGAGCCTTGAAAAACACTCAGCTTGGTTCAGTAAACTAAATCACAAGTATAGGGAAGACTGCTGATCTGACTGCTCTCCAGAGGACCGTCATTGACACCCTCCATCAGGAGGGTAAGACACAAAAAGAAATTTCTCAAAGAGCAAGCTGTTCACAGAGTGCAGTTTCAAAGCACATCCACAAAAAGTCTGTTGGAAGGGGGAAATGTGGCAGGAAACGCTGCACAACCAAGAGAGATGACCGCAGCCTTAACAGCATTGTGAAGAAGAGTCGCTTCCAGAATTTGGGGGAGCTTCAAAGACAGTGGACTGAAGCTGGAGTCCAGGTATCAAAAGTCACTGTTCACAGACGTGTCCGGGAAATGGGCTACAATAGCCGTATTCCCATGGTCAAGCCACTTCTGAACTCAAGACAACGGAAGAGGCGTCTGACTTGGGCTAAGGAAAAGAAGCACTGGACAGTTGCACAGTGGTCCAAAGTCCTCTTTTCAGACGAAAGCAAG